ATATTGAGTTATTCGTCCATTTGTCGCGCAAATTTTGAATGCAAATTTAAGACTTATATGGTGTTCTCGTGGATGCTATTGTCAGAACTGGACCAAATTGAAATGGGACCGCACGGGAAGCACCAGATTTCAAATAGAAAGAGAATCAACAAAATCGGTTCACCCAGTCGAAGGTTCTGAGGTAACAGACATAAAAAAATACAGTCAAATTGAGAAACTCCTCCTTTTTTTTGAAGTCGGTTAAAAACCAATCGTAAGGGTCGAAAATTCGTGTGCGTGTACGATAGTCAACTATAAATGGCATTTTGTTTAGCCGACTTCGGAAATGGAGGAGGTTCTCAGTTCTACTGTTGTTTTTGTTTCTTACCTCAATACTTTAGACTAGGTGAACCAACCTATTTTGATGATTCTTCTCTTCTTTATACATCTGTGGTCAACTCGTTAAAAATGGCACAGCTTCTTTTTATAGGAAGAAATCGATAATTTAAAACATATCCAAAGGTCGAACAATTGTCAATAAATTAAAATTTAAATAAAACATTGCAATGCAAATATGTATAATCAATTTTATTTCTTAAAATAGTGTACATTTTCTCAATATAATACAAAAACTATAAATATTTTTTTAAAATGTCGCATTCCGCCGTGTTAAATTGCAAACAAATATTAAATCTCATTGAATAATAATAATATAATATAAACTTACTCCTATATCCCAAAAGAGTAGGCAGAGACTATAGATTTCTATATTGTATGTTCTTTGCTTATTTGTCTTGCTTCAGTGACGTTCATCAATCTTTTCATGCAAGCTCGTCGGTTTCAGGTGCTTAAAATTTGGCCCTTTTTTATTATGCCACCAATATGGTCTGCATAGTATTTTCTAGGATGACCCTTGTCGACCTTTCCATCACGCACATTCACTCTATAGATTTATTTTGTCAGTCCACTTTCATTCTACATGTCCAGATGACCAAACATACCTCTCTCCACTCTAGTCACTACATCTTCCTTCGAACCACACCGCTCTCTGACATCACTGTTTCTACATCTGTCTTTCCGAGACACTCCACACATACTGCGCAGCCATGGCATCTCCACTGCATTGATTCCAATTTCATTTTTCTTCTGCCATATCCAGCTTTCATTACCATTCTTAAGCGTATGGTTTAGGATCCTATCATGGATAGCCAAGTGCGCTTGTTGTGAGACGCTTTTGCTGTTCATAATAGCAAGCAAGGTCCCATTCACTTTCTTTCCCGCATTCATCTCCTTTCTATATTTCTATCATGTTTACAGTCAGTTGTAAACAGACTACCCAAGTATACAATCTTTCACTTGTTCGACTCTCTCATCTTCTCAAAATATATAGCATTCATTGCCTTAATCTTGCTGACATTTACTTTCATACTTATTTTCTTAACAAAATCATTCATTTTAGTTACCATCGCCTGCAACTCGCACGCCGACGGCACAAGGAGTACTTGGTCGTCGGCGTACAGGAGGCATTTGGCAGACAGCTCATCCATCTTTAGTCCACACTCCTACTCTTTCAAATCACACAGACAGCTGTCCATGAATAGGTTGAATAGCCACAGTGAAGCTACACATCCCTGTCTGACAATGAATGGCATTAATTTACATCTGTATATCTTAGTGCTCTACTTTTACCGTTTTAAACTGATCAATGACAGATGAAAGTGACACTGAACGTAAATCAGAGATTAATATGGTGTAAGTAGATTTAAGTAAACCAACTTCTCTGAATGTTGCTAATTGCGATAAGGCTCGTGATAAAAAAGAATTCAGTGGGTTCAAAGGGTTCAGTGTGCTAACTGGAATAGAAGTTTCAATGTTACATCTCTTACATCTCTGGTTTTTGATCTAGCAAGCATTTACTGTTTGTACTGATGCAGTGCTAAAGAGCACCAGGTACTTATTTATTCCAAGACAGCAGTCATAAAATAAGGGAATGGCTTATTGAGGCCGGCAACATCGCAGTCATTACAGACACGAGGTGTACTTTATCAATATTGCTATTTTAATTATATCAAATAAAAATAAAGTAAAATAAAAAAGATTTCGCCCCCGGGTGGGCTCGAACCACCAACCTTTCGGTTAACAGCCGAACGCGCTAGCCGATTGCGCCACGGAGGCTGTGGGTGAGGACCGTAAATAGTTTATAACAACCTAAGCTTCGTTATATACCGTTTTAGAATTGATGCTGTTGGCCAGTTGCGCGCTAACCAATGGTGTGCCGATCACGCAATGCCGTGGCAAAGAAACGGTGCGAAGTGTGCGTTAAAACAAGACGCCGTTACATTCAACTCTTTAAAACGTATGTATTTTTTGTGGTTGTTCTCACGGAATATCAACTTTTGGAATGAAGTTCGCGGCTTGTGGTGGGAGTTCACTAGCAGAGATCGTACAGTACAACGCCGCTATGAAGTTCGTCGTTTTCCGAACGCGGCGGAGAAGGAAGGGTCGGGGAGCGTAATACTGCGCTGTATATCATTCGCAGCCAGTTCGGAGCGGCAAAGATTCGTGAGTTGTACTGCAAGTCTGCAACATTACGAAAATGCGATGCGACTATGAAATTTATTATTTAATGTCTTTATGTATATAATCTATTATTCATTGTTTTGTATCCAATTTTTTAAATCAATATATTTTGGAGTTTACTCCTTAAGAATTGATATCATATTTAAGCCCGGGGTATGGAATTTTATGGGAGTAAAATCAAGAGTTAGATAAATGACGTTACGCTACCATCATGATACTGAAATAAATTAATCGTCATGGTTAATGTTTACATTTCAATCAATCAGAAATACTTAGTAGAGATTTTAATATTGATTTTAATAAAGAAGATGGTTTCCGTTTAGTACAATTTCTGAAAGATGAACTGAACTTAGATTTAATTTCTGACAGAACACTAGGGACAACTAGATATGGTACAACTATTGATGCGATGTTTTCACGATTTATCACACAGATTCATGTATCATATTTTAGTTACCATAAACCAATTGTTTCAGTGTTTAATGATACCGCTATTGTTCCTGTGATAAACATTACACAAGATAACGTCAATGATAGAGAAAATCAATCTTACTAAAAATTTTATTGTATAACATAATTATTTTCAATATTTTCTTAAATGACGAATTAATTGTTTTACTATTAACATAAATAAATGAATTGTGTATTATGCTTTGAATAATATAATAGATGCTTTCGTTTACCATTATACTAATCTATATGTACGATATCATCTTAAAGCAGTAAACTCCAGTCGTGCGTCGGAGCTGACACACTTACATTTTTTTTTTATCAATATTTATATAGATTTCATTTTGCAATAAAAATACCATAACTATGACTCGATTGTTGTGATGGGTGAACTTTTACTCATATACTTACAGGTTTGTGCGGAACCGTCGGTGCGCTAGTCCGACTCGCACTTGGCCGGTTTTTTCTTATGATCTTTCGATTGAAACGTCATATAATAAATAGTCTTTCTTTTTAGCCCTTGTTTTTCTTTGGTACAGTAATATGGTATTGTAAAATGTAATCCACAGATATTAATATACTCATACTTTGACAGAATACATACTTCTATTGTGACTTTGAGCTGCATTTCGATAATAAAATAGTAAACAATTGTGCATCTTCCCTTTTGCATTTATGTTGTTTTACCATGATTCCATTTTGTCACTGTTAATATTGTCTCAAAATTTTTAATTAAAGAAATTAAACAAATAACGGTATTGTGTTAAGAATACAATATTTATATGTAATGGGTTATAAATTCCTTTATAGTCTCAGAATTCTTTATTTCAAGACTTGATAACTGTTGCTCATGAAAAACTAAAAATATATACCAATGTTCATGTAAGCATACGGGGGAGAGTAAGAGCTTTGCGTACTTTTGCTGACAAGGTAGAGGGGGGATCAGAAATTATACAAATTTTGCTTATGTAATACTTTAATGTCCCCTAATCTTACGTCATCCATAAATTATGTCACACGTTGTTGGTTAACGAAATGTTACAATGCGCCAAACGGAGCAGGTCAAGAGCTTTGTGACGTCAAATCCGAAATAAGAAGATGAAAAAAGGTATATGTCTTTTGTTTTGGCTAATATTTAAAGAATTTTGAACAAAAAAAAAAAATAAAAAAATGTGTAAAAACTGCTGTTTTCATTTACATATCACCACCTGTGCCTTTTGTAAAAAACCTTATAATTTTGTCACGTAATTTATGGATGGCCCCTAAGTCACTTTGCAATTTCTGCTTTCGGTGAATATTTTTCAGGTTTATTTTTTAAAGTGATGCATTATTGCTATGAAATAATATATTATGTAGCCATTTCATTTTATACATAAAAAAAATTAAGGCATTGAAATTCAAAAAAATAATAATAACCTTGTTCACTATTTAATTATTTACAGATATTTCATACACAACACCATATCCCGTATGGTCTAGTGGCTAGGATACCTGGCTTTCACCCAGGAGGCTCGGGTTCGATTCCGGTACGGGAAACCGCTTTGTTACTTTTCTATTTTATCTAAATACAAAAATATAACTTTTAACAATTCGTAATATTATTGGCTATATGTATGGAATACAAAATAATATGTAGTCAAACCGTTCTGCGCGTCTAATGTAGTTTCACACCGGAAAGTTAGATTTGTACGTAGGCAAAGATTAAATAATTTTCATCATAATAATATATATATATATATATATATATATATATATATATATATATATATACTTCAATTATTAAATGCTATCGTAATAATTTTGTGTCTATGTCCAGTTTAGTTTATTTTTATTGAGCAATAATTATTTAAATTATTGCCTCACCATTAATAACATTATTTATTTAAAGCTTTTCATTTCTAGTAAAATAAAAATTTATTTCGTCTTCAACTTTATTACATATACGACGTCAATTTCTAGATACTATAGTATCAAAATTTATCAAAAGATTTTGTCAGAAGTGGGATTCGAACCCACGCCCTCAGAGGAGGACCAGAACAGCTCATTGACCTATCGTGATAGGTAAGGTTGGAACCTTGAGTCTGGCGCCTTAGACCGCTCGGCCATCCTGACAGTTGCAAACTATGTCAAAATTGTTGTTTACTTTCAAGATATATTTTAATGATATAAAATAATATTTTTTTTTAATAAATATATTGATAGGTATAATTAATGATATAGAAACTTGTAAAAACATAATGATTTAGTACTAGGACACTCATTGAAAAATATTCTACTAGGATTTAATAATTCATTCACAAAAAAGTGACATCTAGCGGTGTCTACTCGTAACCGATTGTTATTGTTGATACCTATTTTATTGTTAGATGGCTGTATGAGTTACATTACATTCATAGATTATTAGTGTTATTTCTGTTCATAAGTGACACTTTAATTATAATTGCTTAATTGTTTAAAACCTTCATAATTACCAATTAATATTATAATACTATTATTCATTCGTTTAAAAATTGATGATACTACCCTAAACATACATTTAATTACGAAATTTTAAAAATATTTTGGATGCCATGAATGTAAAAAACCGGCAAAGTGCGAGTCGTACTAGTGAACCGACGGTCTTTTGAAACCGATTTTTGTTATTTGTTACTCAACTTTAAAATTTGCACTATTATTATATCAAGTTTGACGTTTGTATTGCTATTTATTCAATAGAGCAAAAACAACGAAATGTTGCCACACATATTTTGGACAAGAATCTCGCTTAAACATTTATTTTTTTTAGAAGATACTAAAAGAAAGTAAGAACTTACTTTTTGACGTTATAACGTCTTATAAATCGATGAACGCCGGCTGCACGCACGAAAAAGCATGACTCATTGTCGCGTTACGTCGGAGCCGAGCGCGCGAGCGAGAGCGCGGGACGAGCGATAGAGAGGCACGATCGGCCTAAGCGTTCGGCTTGTGACGCATCTATAAGAAATAGATAATTTCATGATGACCTAATAAACTCTACTCTGCTTTAACAGACGACATTATGAATTGAAAGACTAAGTTAAAAGATTTATATTGTTGGCGGGATCGATTTGCAAATTATAAATCGTAAAAAAATTAATGAGTCTCACCTGCTACCAAACTCAACGTAAATTATTTAACTTAGGCTTTCAGCTCATAACGTCGTCTGTTAAACCACAGTAAAGTTTATTAGGTTATAGTAGTTTGTTTACTCAATCTTACTTCAGTCTTTTTTAGTGTGTTGCTTGTCTGTTGATTTTTGGCAGGGTTTTTGTATTTTCTCAATTTTTGTCAGATGTTGTGAATAAAATTCATTATAGACGTATTCATGTGACACAGATGTTAGTGTACAAACCACGGTTCCCCAAAAAAGATATTTTTTTTTTGTAACTGAACACTAAATCCACCATATGCCCTTGATGACACGTACGCGGCTACCCCAGACATCAACCTACCTGCCCGGAAGTCACGCAAAGTGACGCGTCCGGAAATAACTTGCACACGACGAACGTGACGGTCTATGGTTAACTGTATTCAAAGATCTTACGTACACTAAGAACAAAACGGAGAACAAAATTAATTAGGAGGTAAAATACTTCTCGACTGGATTGATTTAATGCCTCTATTATCGAACAATGAATTTTTAACTCCGCCGAGAATCTATTTCGTCCGTTTGTCTCTGGTCGTACCGAAATTATTACTAGAAATTTATTTATTTATTTACAAAAGTAACACCCGTCGTTGCGGCTGTCTGACAGAGTTGTAAATACTTACAGGTAGTTGTATTGCTTTATCTGCAATACAATTACTAGAGATTTTGTGTCCGCATTCCAAGACGAACACTTTAAGGGAGGCCTCGATGTTTTGAAAAAATTAATGGGCAATTAAAAACGTTGAAGTTGTCACGTTACTTCTAACGTGAACTTTTTTTTGTGTATGCTAAATTTTCTTTGCTATTTGAAGACAAAATAGATTATACCCCATGTCGACGGGATAATATTACCGTTCAGTGGAACCCGAAAAAGATTCTAAATAGTTAATAAGATATATATATATATATATATTGGAGAAATATGAGCATCGGAAAGTTTTTTCTAAATAATAAAATATTATTCATGCAGTGCATACAGCCCCACTGTTTGGTTGTATTTCGTTACAGAGGGACATTGTTTAAATCATAATTAATCAAATCAAATAGTCTCTATGAGTACGCTTTGTCGAGTATATAAGAAAATTCGTATAGAAACACGTGAAAACTGCATGAAAAAATTATAGTACGAAAAATGAATTGCATATCTTATTCGCACCTGCCCTATTTTTATTTATTCGCTAAGAATATTTGAAATTATCAAATAATTCGATAAGTTGTTTGTCTATTTCCAATTTCGTCAAAAAAAAATGGAATATATCCGAGCAGACTCCATGAGTTATAATAAAATCAATGTTTGTTACAATATGCTGCATTAAATCCATGATTTGTTACTTCTTATGCAACCGCCTCTTGATTTTTATCCCTAATCGATTTCCTGCTTTTAAATACACAATTTTCAAAAGGCAAACATTTGAATATTTATATACCACATAAACTTTTAAATAAAAGCAACTTTGTTAATGTGTAAAAGTAAAAAGATGTCCATTTATCTGTTCGTTTTTCATTTCCACGAAACTACGGAACCAATAAAAATATGTTACACATGTATCATAAAGCTAGGATAAGGATCGAGAGCTGGAACTAGGTCTAAAACAATATAGAACAAATAATGTTGTTTACTAGTTTGTACTACGTATTACCAATACGAAAGCATGTTCGTTTGCCGGTTTGTTTTCGGGGCGTTCGGGCCGTTGATGGCTTGTTGCCAGATTATGTATAGGGTTAGATGTCCACGTGTAGTACCTACGTAGGATATTTTAATAAAATAAAAATAAATGCAAAAAACAAATACAAATCCAAAAAATGATGATCAAAAATACGAGCTATAAACGTGATATAAAACAATATAACTAAATTTTAATTTGCGCTCGGCGAAATGGGCGGAAGACGGCTAATAAAGGTTTTAAAAATATTGAAAAATTTTATTCACTGTTTTCATGAAAAGATCAATATTCAATATTCACAGAATATGTGACAGTAACTTCATAACATTATCAAACAGCGTTCACACATTAGTATCACGTAAAGGTTCTATTAAATATTTTAGAAACTGGTTTTGGAACAATCACCGTTATGTCATTGGATTGAAGTACGCATGGGTGATTTAAAAAGTGGAGAAGCGTTCTTATAATAACGGTATCGACGTAAAATATAAAATCAATTAAATCACATACAATTATTTTAATTTTTTAATTATAATAATAAACTACATATTTTCACACGTACCGGTGAGCACAGAAGCGATAAAAAAGTGTCGATTTCATTTTAACGTATAATACTACCAATTAGAATACATCACCAACGTCGCAGCGGAGTTCGCGTAAAGGGGTTTTTTTAATTCGACCGCGTAACAATCGTTCTCGGCGCGAATGCCGGCATCTTATTGGTCCAAATAACTTAGAGCGGAATCAAGCGAAGAGCAGACGTCAAGAACCGCCGCCGGCGGCGAGTGCAGTAAGCTGGCGCAGTAGTTTACCCGACGTCCGACGAGGCAGAGGGTAGTGTGTTCTCGAAGTTTTGTTTCGATAACGAGTTCATTTTGTGAACAAAACGTTGATAAAAGTCGTTATTTACTGTATCTGGTTACTTGTGACTCGGACGGAGTGTCTCAATGTCGAGTTGAAGTCGAAGTCGTGTGATACTAATGAAAGCTAAGACTATAAAAACGAGCAGCGTCTGACTGTTTTGTAACTCCTAAACATATCGATGGTGCTCTTATATCGTGTGTAATATTCCTCTCGACGACCGACCGAAAAACAATTCGCAACGGATTCTTGGATGCAATTTAATTGGCGCTGCGGGTAAGGAAACGTAGACTCTTGTTGTGTTAACAGTTTTTTTTTCACCTTGTATTTCTAAGTGAACGGGTCCACTGTTTGAACTTCTCTTTGTTTTGTTCGAGAGAAACTTCGGCGTCAGATCGGACTGTTGATAGAAAGCGAACGACCGTCGATGAAATTATAGGTTTTCTCGGGAACGTATCTGGCTGCATAATGCCGCGGAAGTGCTTCGCCCTGCTCCGTCAAGGATATTGTTTTATGTTTCGCTCTTGGATAAGGATTTTTTTTCTCAGGCGAAGGGAGGTCAAATGGGTATATCTTTGAGCGTACGGCATAGAGCGTATAGTGACTTGCGAGGCGTCGTGCAGTCGTCGTGCGAAATTGATATTCATATGTCACTAAAGGGACCTGCGTCTGTCTTTACTGAATCAAAAAACAATGTAGGTATAGACTTTAATATTGACATAGTAGCAGTCGCTGCACAGTAGATTGATCATTTTTAATTTCCCTCTAAGAAAATTGAAATTTTCGTATATAATTTGGAAGGTTTCATTTCATTTCGTACTAAGAAAATCAAGATTTCATCTTATGTTCATAAGCTAAAGGATTACCTAATTTTGATCTGATTAGTGGCAATAGAAACGGCTCATTCGATTTAATATTTTTCATAATAAAACTTATAAATCGAACTATGTTGATTCGAACATAATAATTGTTAAAAAAATTGCATGATTTAAACTAGGAAATCGATCAATTTGAAAAACTAATCAACTCTGTACCAGAAAAATATCTCGAATGCCCCATTGATGCGGTCGGGAGACAGCTGGAGTCCAAGATTGGGCATGTCATTGCATATGGGTATTAATAGATCGAGAGCTGGGAGAGCTGTTCAAACTTGTTCAGGAGTTAGAGATGGCTTCTAAACGAGTGAACTGACTGATATCGGGTTAGGGACCTTTAAAAAAGCATCATTCGCCTCAGATTTAATGAAAAATAAATGATTAAATTTTGAGAAGTGACCTCAAAGTACATTTTTTGTTTTCCTTTTATTCTTTTTGAAACTATCAATTCGATAATTGTTCAAATCCAACTCTTCGATTCGTCTTATTCTGTGAATCTGTTCAAAATCGGTTTGTTTAATCCAGATCTTATCGGTGGAAAAAAAT